AAGAATTGTAGCTCAATAAATTCTCACTATAGACTTGTAGCCCATAAAGCTTTAGAAGATTTAAGTTCATTTTGCGCTGCCATATACTCGCACTATCCTATTCAACATAATTTTTAACATCTTGGCTATTTTGATTTTGTCACTAAAATAATGAGAATGTTGATGTTCATTTGGAGGTCCACTTATTTCTGCAATGACAAATTCTATTTTTAGGGGCTTAGTAGCCCAAACAATATCAATTTTACGACCATTGCTGCAATTTTCTTTATCATTTTTTTTTAGATCAAAGTCTTCTGCAGAGGCGAACAAATTTTTCTCTCCACTAATATTTTTTTATCGTTTTATATCAATATAATGATCCTTAAAAAATGAACATAGATTATATGAAACTTTACTTGCAAGTAGATTTCTATGTTTTTAAACTTTTTTTGAAATAGATTAGTGATTAATAGTGTCAAAAACATCTCTCGATACATTCTTTCGAATAAAGCTTCATTTAATAAATCATTATCTCTTTCAAATGAATGAACTCTGTAAAGATAAAGTAAAAAGCTAGTTCCTTAAAGCTAAAAAATAACTTAGTTCTTCACATATAGTAAACAATATTACAATAAATTTATGTAATTCCACAAAAATTCTTTTCATCATCATTACGAGTAAGTAAATAATACTCAACAACTGATTTTTTAAAGTCAGTAACCTATAAAGTTTGTTATTAAAGTTATTAAGATAATAAAGTATACAAAGAGATTTGTTATATACCTTTATCATATTATTAATAAAAGCTTTGATTTCATTATAATCTCTTTCTTGGATTGTTGGTTCATGAGTTATAAGCTTATTATATACTTCTGATGATAAATAGCTTTTAACAAAATCACTATTTGTACCTGGAGTGAGATCTAATATATTATAATATGCGAGACTGTTGCAAAACTTATTAGTAAAATAAATCTTAGTGTAGCTTAAAAATTATTATTTTAAAAAAAACATACTCGTCACAAAGTATATTATTTTTTAATTTCCAATTCAATAGCAATTCTCTACCTTTAAAGTTTCCGATAATCAAATCCTCATCTGTATTTAGGCTTTCCTTTGTTAAAAGTTCAAATGTGGAATCTTTTTGATTATGCTGTTTTTTTATTCTATCATCATTAAATAAATATGCCTATTGAGAAAATTATATTCATATATTTTAAAACTAAATATATTAGCTAACTTAAAGATAATGAATACAAGATAATAAATACAGTATAACTTACAATATTTGCTTTCTCATTATTTCTTTTCAACGAAGATGGTTTATATTGAAAATCATTTAACTCATCATTAATCATTTGCACTGCGGCTTCTGATCCATATAAATTTGTTTTGGCATCAAATATATTTATATTGGCCTATAAATTTGCTAAAATTAGTTGATAT